TGGAATGCAAAAATTACAAGTATGATTCTGATGCTTATTGGGAATGCATGATAAGAATACGATCTTCCACACTATTTCACCCTTGCGGCACTTGTAAAATGGGACCCCGTGGTGACCCAACTGCTGTCGTTGATCCTACATTAAAGGTATTTCCTTGATAAAATGCACTAGCTAGTATTTATACGATACATAATAAGCAGAATGAAATGTGTTTATAAATTTATATTCAATTTTTTGCAGGTCATTGGTATTTCAAATTTACGAGTAGTGGATGCGTCCATCATGCCCGAAATTGTATCGGCGCACACAAATATACCGGTTTACATGATTGCCGAGAAAGCAGCAGATATGATAAAAAAAAAAATGGAAATACTGGAAGACGACGCAATAGTCATAAAGTATTTTTTTATTAGCTGTTTACTATCCAGCAACGATATAAACGCAGAAATTCCATGTATTAATTGTGGTGTAGGGAGTTAAAAAAATTAGGCCGCCATTTAAAAAATAAAGTTGACTTTTATTTAATCATAATGTCTCCGTCTAAGGTCAAATTTTTTTTTAATATGTCCTCCTCAATACCATAGAATCTCGCAGAAACAGGTTAATATGGTTTCGGAGAAATTCAAGTGCGTTAAATTGAAACACTCTGCATATACTAAGTACTTCTGATCAATCAACATGGTCGCAATTGATTTTTCCCCTTACTTCTCAGGTTTCATTCTTTGCGCTCAAAAACAATACTATTATTTGCTCCTTCCATATATCTCCATGCGTCTACCGGATAGTTAATTATTTTTTATTGATGTTGTATCGAAAAATTATATCATTTCATTAACATTAAATTTTAAAAATCATATTTTTCAGGAATAAATTAACTTTGGTTGGAGCGTTCTGTCTATATTATTGAAGCAAAAAACGTGATAGAATAATATTGACTAATGACCAATATTAAACCAGAAATTGTATCGAATTATTTCAACGTTCCAGAATGTGAGGACGACGCGATGGTTGCCGGTATTAGAACAGCATTAACAACTGATTAAACAACGATGATGCAGATGTTCGATCCTCAATTGTTAAATTATACCTACACAGAGTAACAACAGAGTATAACTCTGCAATGATTATTTGAAATGTCCAATAAAGTTACATTATTATCTTCCACAATTTATCACGCTTGCAACACTTATTAAGTAAGATCACATGAAAACCCGATTACACGCGCTGCCGTTGATTACAGATTAAAGATTTTTTTGCTTGAGAAAACGCACTAGCTAGAGTATTTATGCAAATTATAATAAGCAGTTTGACATGCGTTTATGAATTCATATGTATTCAGATCATCAGTATTCAAGGCTTACGAGTGTCTTATGTACATCATGCCCGAAATTATATCCACATATCTGAACATGCCTGTTCGTATTGTTGTCGAGAAAGTGCCATAAATCAAAGGAAAATGGAGTTATACACATAACGAATAAAGAAGGTCAATGCACAGTTATAGCAGGATCTTGGTAC